GCATTATCCTCATAGGGACCCCAGAGAGTGTGGGGGCCCCAGCGCCTGAGTGAGGGCACAGTATTTAAAGGGGGAACCCCAGTGGTATGGGGACCCTAGCGCCAGTGAAGGTGCAACTGGCGGCGAGGAGCGCAACCAATGGGTTGCGGGTGGGGAACAGAGACCCCGGGTTGTGTGCGGGGTACGTAGACCCCAGCCCCAGAGAGGGGCAGCTTTGAGAAGCCCCAGCGCGGGCATGACGAGCCCCAAAAGGGGGCACCGCTAGGGAGCCCAGTGTGGGCCCAATGAGTCCCCGAGAGGGGCGACACTGAGAAGCCCGAGAGGGGCGACACGTTAGAGAAGGCCCGAGAGAGAGAGAACGGGCAAGTATACGGAGAAGGCCCAAGAGAGTGGGCATATGTTTATAGTGACAGTCCAACGTCTAGTACATCAGCGAGGCTTGGGGCGTGGTATTAGGGGTGGTAGGAGCCACACGTAGCCCATAAGGCTAGGGTGTCTGGGGAGCACCCATTACACCGGGAGACCCCAGGGGGGTCCAGGAACACGCGGGGACAGAGGTCCCGAGTACCCGTGCCCAGGGAGTCGTAGGCAGCCTCCCAACTATATACAAACATCAAAGACGTGGCGAGCGAGAATAAGAGGGTGCATTGGGCCAGCCTTGACACGGAACGAGGGACCTCGAGGAGATCACGGCCCTCCTAAAGGACCCCGCCGTGACACTTACCCACCTACAGCCCGCCAAAAGTACGTGTCTAAAACACTCTCATTTCACACCGAAAATTCCAGCAACCTCCAAAGATAAAAGCTAACAAAAACAACCCCCAGCCCTTACGAAGTGCACTGGTGTCCTTAATCAACACCACAAAAACAAAAAAAGTGCAACTGTGGAGAACTACCCACCGTACAGGACGTGTGTCCAACCTCAACGAAACATTACAATCCTCTACAAAATAGCTGTAGTCCCAAAAACGAATTGATCTGTGTTAGCCCACAACAATAAATATATCACAAAAATGGAAGAGTTTCAGCCTGACAAAGCAAAAGATGTGCAAAACTATGCAAAAACCCATGTAAACATGCCGTTCATGACAGGCTTCAAATAAACTTTACATTAATATTTACCAGTATCGCAAAATCAATAGCAAATTGTATGCCCAAAAAGCATCCAATCCCGGCAAAGGTAGAAGAGGCTTTATATAAATACCGCCCAAAACGTAACCAACTAAATACAAAAGAAAAACTAAAACAAAACACAACAAAAAAAACCCAAACATCTCCTTCAAAATTTCTATAGACCCTACCCCCTCAAAAAAAATTCCCACAAGTATAAAAAATAAAATCCCAAAAACTTTTATAATTGCCCCTTCATAGTTTTTTTTTTTAATATTGTAATCCTACAGTAAAAGGTTAATGTCACCCAAGTCCATCCGTAGTACAAGTAAACAAAACCAAACCTGTCTGCTTAGCAAACAAAGCCCAGTCTACATCAAAAATGCCACAGAAATGCCACTAAAAACTACCAAAACGGCACTTAACCAAATAAATATAAAAGTAGTAAAAAACAAGCTTACTAAAAAAAAACAGCTTACCCAACAAACCTTAAAAAACCAAATAGTAACTAATGCAAAATACCAAAAAAATCATGTCAGAACCCAAAGCATAACAGTCCAATCGCTCAAACAATGACACACCATCATGCATTCAGTGTTAAAAACAACACAAAACCACACAAACAAAACAAGTTCTGCCATATCTTACATTACCATACAAACCTTTATATTGCACCAAGATAAAAAACAAACGCTTTAAAACAAGTCCAAAAACCCAACGATTATATCCCGTTCCTATACAAAATAGTACCCAAAATACAAACCCCTTTTTACAAAAGTTATTTCTTGAAAAATAAAAACACAATTAAACAAATATATACATGTAAAATCAGTAAAAGTAAACACCAAAACTTAACCACTCTATAAGTGTATCCCTGCCCCTATACTATTAGCAAAAAGCTTAAACCCCCAAATCCCCTGCAAAGTAACTCTCTTTAAAAAAATCTTAAACTGTAAAAAAATATACACAATAAAAACAGCACAAATAAATATACTATCGTAAAAACTTCCTAATAAATCCTTGTAAAGTACATCAAAAATATAAAAAATTACATTTTAAATAACATTTTCAAGCAAACAAAAGTAATAATTAACAATACCATTAATATCTATGTGTAACTTCAGTAACCTAAAATAACAAAAAAAAATCCCAAGCACCTATTACAAAATACCATTGTAACACTACTGCTGTAAAAAGTAAAAAGCATATCTATACTCAACCTACTTATTCCCAATCTTTCTCCTTAACAAAAGTCTTCCCAGTAAATTAAACAATGTCAATGAATCCTTCATAAAAAAGCTGTTTACCAACAATTGAAAAAAAATAAATAAATACTACTTATATTAACGCTCTAAATAAAAAAAACAAATCTGCATATAATACACCAAAAAAGGAAATGCCTAAAACTAACAGCAAAATTAAAATCAGTATCTAAACACTACTACATTTTCCTAAAATATAGCCCCACATAGACAAAATCAATAAATTTTATGTTACATCCTATAATCATTATTTTATTATACATCATTATCTTTTTTTTTTTAATGTGTGTACTTACTTGTAATGCCCAAAGGCTATACTGACAAATAAAAAATCTAACAAATTACATCAACAACTATATCACCCTAAAAAATTGTAATCAGCATAAATATATGCAAATGCAACCAGTCAAGAAAAAAAATTGTAAAACCCACCCCAAAAAGACCTCTAAAAAAAAAAGCCAAACTCACAACCCCCCCCAAAAAACAACTTCACAAAACCCAAAGGCCACAGAATATAACCTAATACATCTGCTAATCTGCTAAAAATAAAAAAATAAACTGCTTTATATATCTAACTATTCTAAAAAAATATCCACAATAACAGCTATAAAAAAAAACTTCAACAAAGCCCAAAGTAACCCTGCTTTGCAATATACAATTAAGCTTACTCTAACCCGTAAAAAGTAATAAAACTAAAAGCTTCATATAATTAAAAAATCCCCTAAAAATAAGGAGCAAAAAAAATTCATAAAAACAAAACCTTAAACAAAACTACTTAAAAAAACAAAACTAAAAACCCAATAAAAAAAATTATCTTGCCACACTGAATGCTGGGTGGAATTCCCAAAACCCATCAAATAATAATATCAAACAAGTAAAAAGTGCCTTTCCTCCTACCCAACACACTATAATAATAATAATAATAACAACAACAATATGTGTGTGCGTGTGTGTGTGTGTATAGATATTATAGTCATTACAATAAAAACTCATATCTAAGTTTTACCTTAACATGTAACTTATAAGTTACTCACCTTCTCCCTTTAAAAAAACACAACCCCACAGACAGATCAAGAAGCCTCTACTCAAGCCCAAGCCTAAGCACGCAGGAAAAACACCAGATTTTGGGGTGCGCCTGGCAGGGTCCCATGCCAACCTCTAGCACACTGCGGGGCCCAGCAGCCACCTCGGCCTGAGCCTCGGGTAAGGAGGTTGACACTTGGAGGGGTTTCCATTTCAAGGACCTATACTGATAACCTCCCTGTCCGGGCATCACAAAGACCTGCGGGAGTGCTCAGGGGATGAATCCCCAAGCCACGACCAGCAGACAGGAGAAAGGCTGAGACAGCGATTCATAACACGGCTTAGTCCTGAACCTG